CACACACACACACTCTCTCTCTCTCTCTCTCTCTCTCTCTCACACACACACACACACACAGCCCGACCTTAATGATAATGATATAATAACTTTTGCTGATAGAGAGAGATATAGATGGTGAGAGATAGAGAGAGTGGGGTGACTGTTGTGGGCTGCAGTAAGATCAGGACACACTTATATAAGATGGAGTGAGAGAGAATAACATTGTCTCATGGAGTGCAGATTTAGTGGATGGGTGGGTGATGTGTTTGGAGGGGTGGGGGTGGGGGTATGACATCTCATCCCAAACTGGTCATCTCTATAAGTAGCTCTATAATATCATATACTGCAGTCTGAGGCTTTACAGTGAGATGAACTCACTGCAGGCTGACCGATAAATGCTGACCACGACTGGTCTTTATTTAAATATCTGATTGGTGTAGTCCAGGGGCGGGGAAACATTTTTCCTTTCAAGGGCCATTTAAATTCTTATAACACCCTTCAAGGGGCCATGCAGAATAATTGAACTTATATATCACACCAGCCTCTCTAATGAAGGCTGGAACTGCTTCTCTTCGATGAGGCAACTGATTACACAGGTTAGTGGTGGTGATGATGATGATGATGATGATGAACATGCCCAAACATTCATGTTCTTTGTTAGGAGCCACACACACATTACGGCAGTAATTCCTCCTCATCAAGCTCAGAAATGATTGCACATGCAAAAATGTCTAGTTGGTCTGAATTTGTTATATCTGTTGTTTCATCACAGGCCAAAGTAAAGAACTATGATTTTCCTTTTGGTGCATCCTGCATCCCAGCCAGAGATGATCAGGCCTGTGTGTCTGATTGGTTCAGCCCCCAGGACATTTTTCGTGGGTTTCCCGTTCTGCAGTCCTTTAACTCGGAGGAAATTTCGAGCCTGTAGTGAGTGGCCACCGAAGCCCCTGCACCCAACTTAAACTGGATCGACATGCACTCTTTAGCTGTTGCTCCTGCATTCTGCCACCAGTTCCACATATTTTATCTGTAAGACCACTTGCCTGGTAGATTCTGATGATAGCACCATATCAGGACAAAGCAAAGTGGTCACAATGTTTTCTGGAAATGTCTTTTGATATCCCTCAGTGTTCTTTCAGTATCTTGTTTCTGCTCTGTGACAGTTCTCTCAGAGACACTGATACTTCTGAACAATTTCACTTTGTCTGGTTCCAGCAGCTTCACTGCAGTGTCAAGGCTCCATCACACATTCTCCTCCTGGGGTTTCAGCTTCTCGGCGATTAGCTCATTCACCACAAAACAAGCCTGCGCAACATCATCCCTGTCAGATTGTTTGTTGTGAAAGCTGCATGTTGGACACAAAACTCAACTGAAATCCATCCATCTTTTCAACTGTAATGATGCTGAGATCCCTTTTTTTGTTTGTTCATTTCACTTGGAAAATTCAACATTTTTGAGTTGCCATGATGCTTGTCATTGATTAAACATGAAAGCTTTTTGTATGGATTTCCTCCACCCTGACTGTAATTGGACTATTTTGTTTGATTTTTCTTTTTTGCTGAAAAAAAAATTATGAATTGCCTTGTGGAATGGATCAGACATTCTCTAGCAATCCTCCAATCTAGTCTGCAGCTATAATCGCTGTATATTAATTAGCATATAAGTATTAGCAGAAGTAGCAAAAGTAGCAGCTGGAGTAGTGTTACAGTACTAGACATTTTTCCAATTTAACACTCTCATGTCTGTCTTTGTATATTTTGGTGATGTCTGTCTGTTTACTTGTCACTACCTTAGAAAGAAGTTATGCTAACATGATTCCCAATTTGTTTCATATAGAAAAAAGATATATTTGTGTAAAATGCTTCAAACTGCTCTTGGCCAAACTCTCTCTCTCTCTCGATCTGTCAGCTAGTACATAATTCATGAAAACAAGTTATCAATGATTCAGTGATATCACTTTAAAAACAAGCTCCACAGACAGACGGACAGACAGGGTTCCAGTCTGTCTGGAGTTTCAGGGCTGGTCTCCAGTGTGAAGAAGGTAACAGACACACACACACACACCTCATTAGACATTTTGCTACAACAACTCTCGCTCGATTTTTCACTTTTAACTTTGGGCTGCTCACACATCCACAGAGCGGATGAAGGAGATTGAAGGAGCACGACGCGACTTGGCAGCAACAAACACTGTGTCATGTTGTAAGGCAACTAACAGATTTAAACAATACTGGATACTTGGAAATCCTATTTGACACTCAGTGTCTCCAGAGGGAGCTGTGCGAGGTCTCATAAATGTAATCTGAGTCAGCATTGGCTTTGTCTGAAGATGTTTAAAAAGTGTTCACATCTGAAGCTTATGCTTGCTTAAAACCACAGCCTCAACCGAACATGTTCACCATGTCCTCACTGTAACAACATTACATTGTCTGTGTGGTGTTATTCCTCCAGGACCGTCCTGCTATGTTTATTATCCAAAGACTCTAAACAGGATCATTGTCCATATGAATGAAGTCCTTGATTTTCGCTTTTCAGCACAGAGACAGGCAGCGCAGTGTGTTAGCTGAGTGGCTGTCTGCCAACATGGCAGAGCGCTGTCTCTTCCTCCTCTGATAACCAAAGAATAAAATGATTAGACAACGGCCTCTGAAGGAGAAGAGATATCATTATTTCTGTGAAAGATCAGCCCCCACCCTCCACCCCCTACTTTGCTCGCAGTGTCATCCGTCCTCATCCCATCTCATTGTCCCTCGGTCTAATCCCTCCCTCCTCTTCCATCTTACCCCCAATCTCATCTCTTTTATCACTCTACTTTCCTGCCATCGGTTCTGGTTCTCACGCTGCTGTTGTGTGTTTTCTTCACAGATACATGCGGGGGGGAGATAAGCCTCCGCAGCGAGCCGGGCTCAGCGACAGCCTGCTCGATGTTTCTACATCTCTCCTTCACACTGCACGGCTGAGGTGCAGAGGTCACATTGAATCGAGAACCACATAAAAATAAATGCTCGGTACAGCAAAAAAAGAGGAGAATGAACAAACAAGCAAAAAAAAAAACACAGATTAGGGGAATTAGGTGTAGCAGTGAAAAAAAAAGTGGATAAATGAGATTTGCAGGCAGTGATCAGCAAAAGGGAAACAACTCTCAGTTATAAAGACGAGTAATTACATCTGTTATCAGCATAATGAGGAAATGCTATAATGAATGTATCTGATAAATGTTCTCTTCACACTTCATTTGTTCTGGTTACAATAATGCTCAAAGCAACTACACCATGATCCTGCCTTTTATGATTGTGTTCGAGGTAAAGCAAGCCATATGAATTCAATATACTTTTTTAATATCTCCTCACGGTCGTCTAGCTGTTCATCCTGTGTGTGCGCTGGAGATAAATCTGGTGTAGACACACAGCCCCGTGGCTCTGTATGTGGGAAAGAGAGAAAGCTGGCCAACACAGCCACCATGACACTGCTCAGTATATGATTACAGTACGCCAACCCTCTTTCTTTGAGCGATTTTTAATCACATGTGGAAAGATCACCCAAACACGATAATCTACTCATTCCTCTGCCTTCTACCATGGAGGGAACGATGACCTGGAAAAGATTACGTTCACTGCCACAACTGTTTCAGACTTTTTAGAGTTGAGGTATATAGACCAGGGGTTCCCAAACTTTTCCATGCCATGGCCCTCCAAACAGCATCAGCTTCTGGCCCGGGACCCCCTTTGCAAACCCACAGACAATGCTACAAAATATGTAAAGAAACATCAACTTTTAGAATGTTTTTTCTTATGTCATGAATGATGTTTCGACTGGTAGGCAATCAGAAAGATGAGCATGGAAAATAACATTTGGATATGATATATAATTATAAATTATATTATATAATCATGATTTAAAAAATAATTCGATTATATTTTATGATAATGATTTAAAAATAATTTGATTATATTTTATGATAATGATTAAAAAATAATTACATGCTATGCATTTTTTCTTATCTTTCCTCCAATTTTCTAAGACCCCCCTAGCGCCCCCTGGCGGCCCCCACTTTGAAAAACAGAAGAGACTACAGCTAACCCGAAAAAGATACCAAAATAATGAAAAGACAGAGGCCAGCTTGAAAATCGGTCATCTCAACTGTGTAAAGACCACGGTGAGTGCAGCGACCACGCACCAGCACAATACATCCAGTCAAGAACACCGACGGTGCAGCACCAACAGTACATCAGTGTCTGACTGTCTCTTCAGGGGCAGTTGGAGATTCACTGTCGCAGCTGAAACTGGTCCCTGAATGTGTAGTTTTTTAAATACAAAGGGCATTTTGTCAGTTAATGCTAATGTTTGTGGTGGTTAACTTGTTGAGATCCGTGGAATATATCAACAGTCGTTCCCCAGAATGACTAAATCCACCTTTGAGACACAGGTGATGTTTAGGGTCAAGTCAAGTCAACAGTGACTTTAAAGATTTATTTAAAGGTCCAGTGTGTAAGATTTAGGTGAAAGGGATCTATTGGCAGAAATTTAATGTAGAATAATGATGTTTTCACTAGTTCATTTCATCTAAATTGTATGAACTGTTGTTTTCTTTACCCTAAAAAAGACCCTTTATATTTAAATACTTTATATTTACATTGAGCGGGTCCTCTCTGCGGAGGCTGCCATGTTTTTTACATTAGTCCAGACTGGACAAACTAAACACCTTTTGAGTTTTTATGACAACTGAAGCTACCACAGGTTCTTTTTCATGTTTGGAAGGAGAGGGTGAGGTGAGGGGTGTTCAGCAGTAACATGCAATTTCTACACTAGATATCACTAAATTCTACACACTGCACCTTTAAGAAAGAAC